TCCCCCTGCAAAAATAGTCAGGTAACATGTGGTCGACTTCCTCAAGTCGCCATCTCCACCTAGGTCAGCATCTGAGTAGGCTTCTAATTCAGGTTTTCCTGTCTCAAAGCTCAAACATTTATTTACCGTACCTTTGAGATATCTAAATATCCATCTGACGACATTCCAATGCTCCCTTCCTAGATTCGACAGAAATCAGCTTACAATCTCGACTGCATGAGCAAGGTCGGGTCTCGTGCATATCATGGCATACATAAGGCTGCCTGCGGCTGATTTATATGGGATTTTTGACATCTTTCTCTCTTTCTTCATCACTGGTTGGACCTTGCTTCTGACTCAACTTGAAGTGTCCAACCAGAGGAGTACTAACCGTTTTGGATTGGTCCATGTTGAACCTCTTCAGGATTTTATCTATGTGCTTCTCTTGAGATAACCACAACAACTTCTTTGAGCGATCTCGGACAATCTTCATCCCGAGTATCTGTCTTGCTGAGCCTAGATCCTTCATAGTAAATGACTTGCTCAAGGCTTTCTTGAGGGCATTAATCTTCCCCATATCTTTTCTCACTATCAGCATATCATCTACATAAAGCAAGAGGATGATGAAGTCTTCATTGTCATACCTCTTGATGAACACACAATGGTCTGCTTGAGTCTTCTTAAAGTCGTGCTAAATCATGAAAGATTTGAATTTTTTGTACCATTGTCGGGGTGCTTGCTTTAGGCCATACAAACTCTTCTTAAGTCGGCATACCGGATGTTCTTTACCCGGAACTTCAAAACCTTCTGGTGGCTCCATGTATATTTCTTCTTCCAAGTCTCCATGAAGAAAAGTTGTCTTCACATCAAGTTGTTCGACCTCTAAGTCTTGAGTGGCTGCTATTGCTAGAACAGTTTGGATCAACGTCATCTTCACCACTGGTGAGAATATCTCTTCAATGTCTATCCCTTTCTTCTGATTGCACCCTTTCACCACAATCCGAGCTTTATATCTCGGTTTTGGGTTGTTCTCCTCCACCTTGAGTTTTTATACCCATTTGTTCTTCAAAGCTCGTCTGTCCTTTGGTAACTCAACCAGATCAAAGGTGTGATTATCGTGCAAGGGTTTCATCTCGTCTTGCATGGCTTTCTCCCATTCTTCCTTTTCAGCGCTAGTCACTGCCTCTTCATAACTCTGAGGCTCTCCTTCTTCTGCAACAATTGTGTACTCGTCTGCAGGATATCTGGTGGAAGGGCGTTTAACTCGGACAGATTGCCGAGTTTGTGGTTGCACCTCGGAATTCGATTCTTCTATTTCATCTCGAACTTTCGGATGTTCTGATTTTGTTTCACCTTCAACTGGTGGCTCTTCTTGTTGTCTTCCCTCCTCAGTATTCTTTTGATTGGGTTCTTCCCCTACTTCAGTTCGGATAGGGGAGACAGTATCTTCTTGACGAACTACAGCTCGGACCTTGGGCCTCTGTATGTCCTCAATTATCTGATCCTCTATGAACATTACATCTTGGCGTCTCACAACCTTCTTGTTGATGGGGTCCCAAAGACGATAACCGAACTCGTCTTTTGGTGAGCCGATATAAGCACACTCATTGGTCTTTACATCTAGCTTTACTCGTTCATCCTTTGGAATGTGCACAAATGACTGACATCTGAATACCTTCAAATGCTCGTACCTTGCCTTTCTATCCGTCCAAACTTCTTTTGGGATTTCTCCTTCCAGAGGACTTGAAGGTGACAGATTTATCAAGTCGGCTGCAGTTTTGACGGCTTCTCTCCAAAACACCTTGGGAAGCTTGGCAGGTGACAACATACTTCAGACTCGTTCTTCAATGGTCTGGTTCATCCTTTCGGCTACACCATTCAACTGAGGTGTCTTTGGAGGTGACTTCTCCAGCTTTATACATGCCGGCCTGCAATACATCTCTAATGGACCTCGGTATTCTCCGCCGTTGTCAGCTTGAACGACCTTCAGCTTCCTGCTAGTCTCCCTTTCAACCCTTACATGGAACTCCTTGAATGCTTGGAGTACTTGGTCTTTTGTATTTAGCAAGGACACCCATACTCTTCTGGAGTGGTCATTAATGAACGTGATGAAGTAATATGCACCACCTAGAGATTTCTCTGACATAGTACACACGTCAGTATGGACAAGATCAAGAACATACCTTCTTCTTCTAAGCTGGTCCGATCTTCTAAATGAAATTCGGCATTGCTTGCCAGCTATGCAATGTGTGCATGTTTTCAGAAGTGGACCTTTCAAGTTCGGCAATAGTTCCTTCTTGGTGAGAATTTGTAGACCTTTCTCTCTCATGTGTCCGAGTCTCTTATGCCATAGCTCCAGACTCGATTCATCCTGAATAGTATTGATCTCTTCACTGCCGATCTTTCCTTGCATGACATAGAGACTTACCTCGAGCTACCACCAAGCTACCTTTGGCGAGTTTCCATCTTCCTCCACCAAAGTAGTTTATCAGCCCGGTTTCATCGAGCTTACCTGCCAAGATGAGGTTGAGCCGCATATCAGGAACATGTCTGACCTCTTTCAGAACCAGTCTACATCCTATGTTAGTCATCATCGTGACTTCTCCAACTCCCACTATCTTGTTGGTAACCTGGTTACCCATCTTCACGATATCGAAGTCGCCGCCTTGATATGATGAGAAAAGCTCCTTGTGGGGTGACATGGAAAGATGCTCCTGAATCTACAATCCATGAACAATCATCATATGCTATATTAAGATAATTATCCTCACCGATTAGGAAGACATCGACCTCGGATTTGGCTACTACGGCTGTGGTGCTCTGTTCTTCTTTTTTCTTCAGATTTATCTAGTCCGGCTTCACGGTGCCATTTTTCTGGTCTCTTTTTAATGTCTGACATTCAAACCTCCTGTGACTTGGCTTACCACGATAGTAGCATGTTAACTCGGATCTCGGCTTTGACCGTCCTCGAGACTTATCTCGACCTCGGCTTTTACTCCTTCCTCGATGCTCCGTCCTTACGCGGTTCTCGAAGACATTGGCCTCATACTGGCTAGTCATCCCTCGTTCTTTTCTTCTGGCCTCTTCATTCAACAGGTTGTCTGCAACTGAGTCCATGGTCAGCTTTCCTTCTGAGACTAAGTTGCTAAGCGTCACCACCAAAGTATCTCAGCTCTCTGGCAATGAGCTGAGTAGCGAAAGTGCTTGCAACTCGTCATCAATCTTCATGTCAATTTTCATTAACTGATTTACGAGCCCTTTGTTTTTGCTCGTCCCTGTAGACCAATTTCATAAGTCGGCGTACCAGGGCAACTTTGTTACGCGACATCTTCTTCTGAATCAGATATTCCAGCTTCGTCCACAGCTCATGAGCGTTTGTGTAGGTCGACACGTGCTCGAACAAGCTCTTGTCAATGTACTTGCGGATCATAGACCGCCTTCTGGTTGAGGAGATCCCATTTTTTATCACTCTTCCCTCCTGTCTTGTCTGCACGCAGAATAGGCTCATATAAATCTTTGCAATAAAGATGATCCTCCATCATGGGTTTCTAGTATGAGTAGTTCTCTGCCGTGAGTTTGAACATATCACCATCATGTGCTATGGCACCCTCCATCTCGGACCTCACAAAGCCCTTGATCTAAGAGCTCTGATACCACTGTTGGATTAATAACAACTTCTATTTGTGGAAGTCAAGTAAATTTGTGGCAAGATGAAAAAATAAAGAAGTAGAAAAATAACACACAAATAACACACAATTTTAACGTGAAAAACCCCCTCAATGTTAGGAGTAAAAACCACGGGACCACTAAGTCCAAAAAATCTTCCACTATGAAAGTAGGATTACAACGATGATCTCTCTAGTACAAGATTAGAGGTTTGCACACAAATACCTCATCCACTAAGGATGGTTACAACAAATTTATCTTTCACTTGAAGGATTTCTTTCTCACCTATATGGTGGAACTATTTCTCTATGAGGAACTCTCTCTTACTCTCAAAATGCTTCGAAGGGATGATTTGAACAAATGAGCAAGGCTGCCTTTTTACAGGAACATCTTCTTGCGTCCAAACAACATCTCCATGTGCAATCCGTGTTCAGGCTTCAAGCTTTCCGCAATTGCTATAGTATGTTGCCTCCAAATGGATTGTAATTTCATTCTTTCCATCAAATGAACAATGAAGAAACATGTGAACATTGAAAACAAAGCTTGCCGACACAAGCTACCAAAAATCAGCTTAACCAACTTGATTAAAAATTTGGCAGCATCCATATGTTAAGCATCTACCTACTATAATAATTTAGGAGGAAAAATCAACTCAGGTGCATCGCCAAGTCACGGCGTGCATGAATTACCACGTTGACAAGATCATCGTATCCTGGCTCCACTGGTGGATGAGCTTAGGAGGAATTCAGAACTGTGGAAGTGTGAGGTTTGTTTTGACATGGATATAGCCTGCAATGATTCGGCATTAAGCAGTATTAAGGTAAGAAAAAGCTCCCCGTCTGCGTCAATCAGATTTAAACGAGAAACAAGGACAGGAAATTCCTGTTCATTGGCGTTTTATGAAGATTCTTGTTATACATAATATTCCAATTCATATGAACTGACCCCAAGTCCCTAAGCCTTTAACTATATAACCTGGCTTGAATTTGATTATTATTTTATAAACAATTTCTCCATCTATGGTTTTGAAATTATAGTTCTAATCTTTTATCTTTTTATTTAGTAAAAAGTCATAATTTTGCTACTAAAATCAATTTATTAACACCATCGAAATTATGTATTTATTTACAATTTAATAGATACGATAAAGATATGCGAATTTCATACGTGGGTCAATTCAATTTAGTGTTTTAAGAAAAATTCATACACGGCAATTGGTAAAGCCATCCACACTATGTCATATGAATTGAGGATATTAATGCAGTAAGCGTCTCAATGTATGAGGCGTTAACACAAGTGATCTCTCCGCACGAAAGGCTATAACCTGCATGGTATCTCCTACCAACTACGTGACCAAAAGCAATAACAAGCTAGCCAAAACAGCAATATACAGGTAAAGAAGCCTATAACACAAGGCAAAATGGAAAAATTCAGAACGCACCATCCACAATCACAATATTCAACAAAAGGCAAAACTTTCCACCTAATCTCAAATTTTAACAATAAGGTTATGCAAATGAACAAACTAAATTTTCAATTAACTAGTGACGAAACACTGGCAAAACACTTAGAATATAATTGGTTTTTTCCATGTTATGACAATGACCGTGTAAAGAAGAAACAACACGGAACTGAAGAAAGAAGCATGCTATCGTGTGAACTTCCGGGGGCCAGTCTACCCGGATAAACAGCATGAGGTGAACCAATCCATACATTATAAGTTGCACTCCTCCAGTTCACAAAATCGGGATGAGCAGCCAGATGTGAATCACAGCATTTCCTGTGACTTCCGTACGCAACGGCTAACCTTTCTCTTGAATTCATCTCTCCTATCTCTCCACTCCTTCTGCAACATAAGATTACATGGGGTCTCAGACAACTTCAAACGAACATTCAAACTGTCAAGATTGAAGCACTTTATAATCCCAGGTGGGGCACTTCAAACAGTGAAGATATTAGCAGCAGAAATGTCTATTTCTAAAATGCAAGGGTTCACCAGAACAAAAAAATTACCGAATCGCATGTTAAATCCTCCAAAAAAATTTATTCAAGATACTTATAACACTTGTGCAGGGTGGGTATGGTGCAAGTTTTAATTATTTTCTAGTGAAACAGGTGCAGATTTTCATCCCAAAAACTAGTGAGATGGGTAGGGAGTAGGTTGAGTGTATGTTAAAGAGCAAGGTAGAGTAGGGTTGAGCAAAAACCTGCCAACATGCTACCACAAGAAAAATTCTGGTGAGGCTTTCAAGAAAGTGTATATCAGAAAGACGAAGAAGGGTCCAATGACAAAGGGCCAGGCAGCAGCAGCAGCAAATACGCCAAGCCCAAACACAACTTGAGCTCAGATGCAGATACGAGTCCAGAAGCAATGGAAGATTCTATGAGCGTTGAATGGAAGATTCTATGGAGAGAAGAACTATTCAGCGGGAAGGTAGGATGGATGACATGACGGAATCAATGCGACAACTCCGGGAAATGATATTGGCATACCTTTACTGGGTGGACCAAAGGGAGAGTGGGGTGGGCACTGGAGAACGACCTGGACAGTGTGAGAGGATAAACGAACACAAAGGGGGTCATAATGGAGGGAACTGGAGGGAAGATGATCACATGAGATGTCTGGAGGTGCCATATTTCGCTAGAGATGATCCATATGGGTGGATCTATCGCTCAGAACGATATTTCAGGCTCAACCAAATTTCCCATGAAGAGCAAGTAGAAGCGGTGTCAATTTGTATAGAGGGGAGGGCCCTAAATTGGTTCCAATGGTGGAAATCAAGAAACCAGCCACTAAATTGGTTTCATACTTCTTCTTTTGGAAACCCGTATAAGGCACTAATGTCCCTTCGTCAAATTGGGATAGTATTAGAATATAGGAAGAGCTTCAAATTGCTGGTAGTGCCTTTAAGGGAACTTGACAAAGAAGTAATGAATGCAGCATTCCTAAATGGCCTGATGGTGAAAATTCATGCGGAAGTCAAGTGACACCATACAACGGATATGGAGGGAATCATGTCCTTGGCACAACGTGTGGAAGAGAGAGAAGTTGTTATGGGGAAGACGATGGTTATAGGGGATCGTAATGGATCAATATCAAACGGGTTAGGAGTAGGCTTATATACAAGGCATGCTTTTACAATCCGAACTGGAAATTAAAATGCGAAAGCTACGGGAGGTATGGGTTGGGGAACACAAAATGGACCTAATACTTTCGAGCGTGGGTCCAACTTAGCTAGAGGAGGAAATAGAAGTGTGGAGCCTCAAACATGGCCTAACAAAAAACACAGGTCATCAAGGAGGGTCAGCTGGGAATACCAACAGCAATGATAGTGCTTTAGGTGACGCAACCTGTGCTATAGATGTGATGTGCCCTTCTGGCAGGACCATGTGAGTGGCAACTCGCAACTTATTGTTATGGTATTGGGGGTAGAAGGAGAAAACAAGGGCTTGGAAGAGGAAGTTACAACCCAATGCACGAGAGACGAAGACTTGGCTATGACATTTAGTGCTATGAGCATTATGGGCATGACTTCTAATAGGTCAGGCTTGTGGATTCAGGAGCCTCCGACAACCTCCTACCTACTTAAGTCGCGAAGGATCTGGAGCTCACAATAGACGGGACAAGCTTCATATGGGGGAGGTAGGGGATGGGTATTAGGTGACAAACAAGGGCGTATGTCGAAAGGTATGGCTCAGGTTCCCTAATCTAATGGTGGTACAAGATTTCCACCTCTTCCAATTAACAGGGGTGGACGTTATCTTGGGATTTGAATGGTTAGTTGAGTTAGGGGAGATCCGAGCAAATTTTAGGAAACTTAGTCTCAAGCTACCAACGCCGCAAGGGATGGTGGAAATCAAAAGGGAACCATCGTTGACCAGAAGTGTAGTATCTTATAAAAAAATGGGGAAGGCCTAAAGGAAGGGGGCAAAAAGGTATTAAGTACATTTGGGAATGATAGTAGTAAACAAAGACAAGCACAAAGGCGTATCTGAAGGAGTGGAGTGTCCTGCAAAGATTTCAGGATGTTTTCTAATTATCCACTGAATTACCTCCTTCAAGATCATTTGATCACAAAATAATCCTAAAGCAAAGGGCTGAAATTCCGAATACTAAACCTTACTGCTACCATCATTACCAAAAGGAGGAGATTGAGAAGTTTGTGACGGAAAGGCTGGTTGCGAGTATGAATATGATCAAACTGAGTAACAACCCATTTTCCAGTCCTCTCATAACAACCCGTTTTCCAGTCCTCTCATCCTAGTAAAGAAGAAAAATGGGAGATGGAGGTTCAGCATGGACTACCAGACATTTAATCAGGTAACCATAACTGATAAATTTCCTATTCCTGTCATTGATGAGCTGTTGGATGAGTTGGGAGGGGTTGTGGTCTTTTCTAAAATGGACTTAAAAGTCTGGCTACCATCAAATAAGGATGTGTGAGGAGGGCATTGGAAAGACAACATTTCGCACTCACAAGGGTCACTATGAATACCCCGTGATGCCATTCGAGCTAAAAAACATCCCCTCTACATATCAATCGTTGATGAATGAAATATTTAGACCTTTTCTAAGGAGATTTGTGTTGGTTTTTTTGACGACATCCTATGGATGTAAATTTGCATGAGCAGCACTTGAGTCAGGTTACGGAGACGTTAAGGCAGAATTAGTTGACTGCCAACCTGAAAAAAAGTAGTTTTGAGCAACAAGAGTTAGAGTATTTGAATTTTGAGCCATATTATAAGCAATGAAGGAGTGAAGGAAAACCCCAATAAGGTAGAAGCTATACGAGCATGGCCGAGACCAAAAAATGTTAAGGGAGTCAGGGGGTCCTTAGGATAACCGGATTCTATAGAGATTTGTTAAAAATTATGGGTTGATAGCTAGACACCTCACACAATTACTCAAGAAGGACAATTTCATTTGGGGAAAATCAGCAAAGGAGGCTTTTGATAATTTGAAACAAGCTATGGTCAGACTTCCCACTCTGGCTTTGCCTGATTTTGGCAAACTTTTTATAATAAAGACTGATGCTTTTGGGTTGGGGGGATAGGGGTTTGAGCAAGATTCTCTTCCTATTTCTTTTTTAAGCCAAACCTTCTCGGATAAGGCACACAATCTGTCTGTGTATGAAAGAGAGTTAAAGGCCATTGTGTTTTCACTTTGCAGTACATAAGTGGAGACACTAACTTATGGGGAGGAAGTTTATTATCAAGACGGATAAAAAAAAAATTAAAATACCTTATGGAGCAGAAGGTTATGCTGAGGGGGCAACAAAAAATAGGGGCAAAATTATTGGGCTTTGACTTTGAAATCCAATATAGACCAGGGGTGGAGAACATAGCTGCTGATGCCCTATCTCAAGTTATGGAATTTAAGGAATTATCCTTAGTTTCAAGCCCCAAATTACACCCTTTGGCAGATGAGGTGTTGGTTTATCAGGGCACTCAGACAAACATGTTGGAGCTCTTACAAGATCCAAATTCCCATCCTAGATATAGGGAGGTCAGGGGTTTTTTATGGTTTAATGGTATATTGGTATTGCCCCCGAAATCTCCTCACATTACCCTGTTGCTACATGACATGCTTCCCGATGGGGGGCATTCTAGTGAATTAAGGACTTTTAAGAGGATATCATCCCTGTTATCAGCCTATTATGCTAAGGTTCATTCGGTTTTTAATGTTTCACAACTCAAGAAGTTTGTCAATCCTGCGATTCCAGTGTTGGACCTCTCTCATTGCTTAACTGATTCTTTGGAGTAACAGATCGAGCCTTGTGAAGTACTTGATGCCCATGGATTGTTGAATGGTTAAGTTGAAATCTTAGTGAAATGGGCAGACTTACTTGACTGTGAGTGCTTCTGGGAAGAATTAGACATGTTTAAAGAGCAATTTCCTCATTTTCACCTTGAAGGGAAGGTGAATGTCAGGTAGTAATAGAAATAGTATAGTTAAGTTGTTGAGTATTCTGTCAGGGAGGTTTTGCGTATAACAGCTTTCTGTTAGATCCGGAATATTCCAGAAGGTGGCTTTCAAGTCTATAAATGTGATTCGACTCTTGTATTATCATTATGATCAATATACAGTTACAATTCTTAGATTCTCTTTGTTTTTCTCTCTATGACTTTTCTTCTTTTCTCTGTTATTCCATTGCTTTGAGGTAGGGAGGTAGTGGTGAGGCTTTCAAGAAAGTGTATAACAGAAAGACGAAAAAGGGCCCAACGACAAAGGGCCAGGCATCAGTAAATAGGCCAAGCCCAGATACAACCTGAGCTCAGATGCAGATACGAGTCCAGAAGCAATGAAGTCCAAGGAGGGAGGGGGAGTACTACAGAATGGAGAGCATAACAGAATTGGGGGAAGGAAGGGTGAGTTAGTTAGAGGAGAGAGAAAAGGAGGATGTAATTGATATAGGGAGAAAGAGACGTGAGGGGGGGTATTATGTTGGTAATCAATTGTTTGGGGTATTGGGTAGGAAAGAGCTACTGTTGGAGTCCTCTGTTATGTTATCTTTTCCATTGTAATTCCAAGGCTGTTTCAGCCATTACAGTAGCCATTCCAGTTATTAGGAGCTGTAAGGAGTTTATATCCATAGTATATCCTGTATTTCAATTCAAGTTGTGTTTAATTCATTGAGGTTTCATCACATTCTCTTTATTCTTTTTCTTTTTGCTTCTGTGCTTCATAACTCCAATTACTAAAATTCACGGTTTTTGCTGAAACCAGATCAATTTGATCACTCGTTTAATATTAATATTTTTTTTTTCCATAACACAATTCCTAAATAGTCTATCCTATTAATATTAATTTTTTCCACTGCATTTAATCACTCGTAAAATTCATCCATACTAAAAATAGAAACTATATCAATTTGTCATTAATTCATTAACTGGGGAAGTATTATACAAACTTGCGTTATGCAATTCCACATCTCACTCTTTACACCCATCAGCTACCAGCTCATGTACCTTGGACCATAAATCAGAACTTAACTATATATTAAGTAGCTAATCTTAAGGAAATATCTACGGAAATATTTGGAGAATATACAGGATCAAAGCAATCCAAGGATGCAATTGACAAAAATATTCATTTACAGTTGGTTACTAAGTCTTTTGCATGCTTCCCATGAAAAATGTTGGTTTGCCTTTTCTTCTCTAGGATGCAATTAAGTACCATAAGAGAGGAGTGAGGGGAAGGTTGCTTTAACAAAATCATATAGTTAAGAAAAATGGTCAAACTTACCGCAGCTTCAACATTTGCAGGAGATTCATCATTAGGACTAGAAAGCATTGATATGATACTCAACACTATACTCTCTACCTGCAAGATAGCATGCATAATATTCATAAGCAAAATAGCTTTACTAGTAGTAAGTACATCAAATCACTAGTGGTGAACAAGAAGTGGCACATCATTTCCACATGACATCCAGCAAAGTTATTAATAACAAACCAACTTCGAAAGTTTTAACACTCCAAATTAGCTTTAAGGCATTAAATATTTGATGTCTTTATAGGCTCTTTAGATATTTCTATTTGATAAATGATGCTGGAAAGCTCCTACTCTTCAATCTTAGACTTTTTAGTTTTTACTTGATGGGCTCCCCATGAGCCATCACAAACTTGAAAGTCCAAAGAGCTGAAACCACTACCACTCATGAACCTTTTGGTCTAACTACATTCAGAGATTACGTAGAATAATAAATATAAAAGATAACTCAAAGAATAGAGATTAAGTATTCAGAAAATTGGACTTTTAATACCTAGTTTATTAATATTTTCCTCTTTCGTCGAAAGTACGGCAGAGTTCCATCCTACCATACGACTAAATGATCTATCATTAATGCAATGCTGAAAGTACATGACAAATTTACAAGTGGTTCTCCTCTAGATTATGTGTATCAATCAAACAAAGAAATCATCACAAGGTGAAGACTAGTATATAATTGCATCATATGGTTAGCTTCTACCACATATAGGTACATTATATCTTACCAAACACACACACAGAGACACACATTATACTTTTGTAACTTGGTTATCAAACAAGATCACACATGCTAGAGATATTAATGTTAAATTACACTAATCTCCATTACAAGGGGCCATAAATTGCACTTAGTAATAGGTAGGTTGTCCATTTATGGAATGAAAGGATAGAAAAAAATTTAAGTCTTTTAGTATTTCTTTGAGTATCTTTTACAGCAGGAAAAAATGATGTAGGAAACACCTTTAATTTAGACAAGTCACAAGAGAGAAATTAGTAAACATTTGTATTGTATGGTTAGCTTTTCGCATGTTTACACATTTTAACCTGATTATCAAACAAGCATGCAGGAGAGGTACTAAACAATACTAATCTCATATTTCTACCATTAAGTTGATTTAGTCAGCAATAACAAAGCAATGTGACCAAATGAATAATGAAGGGCAAAATTCTCATTATGAAAAAAAAAAAAAAAGGTATGGTTCTATGTTTATACATACTGTATGAACAGGCGTCCAGCGCTCACTTGCAAGCTCATAACCATTTGGGTCCTCCCCAGGAGGATGAAGAATTGATATGCAAACCCGCCCATCAGGATATACTGCAAATTGAACAGCATCATTTAACTGTGTTTTAATCAAAGCAAGATCACAAATGGGAAAAACCAACCATTGGGATGCCATAACTCTGAGGTGAATTTCACTGATGGCGGACTATTTGGGTAGTTGGGTGGAAAGCTCATAATGGCATTGAAAAATCCCCCCTCACTACAAGAAATTTAAAATTGACAAACAAAACAGCAGAGTGGTCAATAAAACTCAAGTGTTATAACAATCATAGAAACAAAATAAAATGTTAACTAATAAAACCAATCCAATAAGAGGGAATAAAGCAGTGATTTAGAGCATTTTCTAAAAAAAGAACAAAAGTAAAGCCTACAACTAAGGAAAATCTAATGCAACCTAATGAACCCAACTAAGAACAACCCCCATAATTAACAGCATAATAAAAAAAATCAGGAAAGTATCATATTTTGCAACTGAGAAGCAGCATTAGAAAGAAATTTAATCTTTATTCTTTTCATTAAGGCTCCAAATATCACTTTCCATCATTATCAGTACTTCATTTATTTAAGTTGAAACTATGACGGATGCCATAAAGCCCCATATTCAATCCCCCTCATCCCCTTTTTACCCTGGAATCTCCAGAATTAAATAACGCAACAAGAAGGGCAAGAAGAAGGGCTCACACAACAACCGCATTAATTAATTCCTCATGAATAGGGCAGACAAGAAACAATTCCATCAATTTAAAAAAAAATTAAGGATCACAAAACCCGAGCAATCCAACCAAACTTTGAAGAGCCCGCGTAATTAAAAACGTGATCTTTAGGTGAAAAGCCAAAACCCCAAAATAAAGAATCAAAGAAATCATCACTGCATAGGCAAAGGCAAATCAAATCAAAAACCCCAAGTAACAATCGAAAATAGCATTAACTCGAGCAAGAGAGAGAGAGAGAGAGAGAGGAAAGGGTATTAATATAAAGGAGCTTACTAAAGAGTATCAGGAGGTCCAATTATCGTAACACTCCATTCAAAAATGTTGGTTTCGTCCACCAAACCGGCGGAAAAACCGTCGACGGGGTTCTTGCAAAGATCTGCAACGCAGGGAAGGTCAATCAGAACACAGCGGAAAATCCACGCGAAAACCTTTGAAGAAATCAAATGGGTAATAGAGAAAGAAAGGGGATTTGATGAGCTACCTTTGAGTTGCTTTTGGAGGAGGAGGCTTGCTTGGGACGCCATCAATAACAAGGAAAAGAAGCTCAGAGGAGAGGGCTTCAAGAAAGAATCAAGATTGTGAACAAAGAACGTAAGAGAACTCCAAAAGCCAACACTTAGAGTATTTATTTAGTATGGTATACGAGAATGAAAGTAATGTTAATTAGATAGATACACGCAAAAGAGAAAAGGAGAAAGGTTCCCAACCCAATGAATGTGTCTCTATGCGACTATGCTAGTTCCCTTTGAGCTGTGGTATGGCCTGGTGCGTCATCAGGGTTGGGTGTATAAATAGACAGAGCTAGTTTTAATTTAAATAGGTTAAATTTCTGTAAAATATTTTAAATTTGTCCTGAATGATCTGATAGGATTCAAATCAAATTATAAATCTGATCTAAATAATATTTAAAAAACAAAAAATTTGAGTTACATTTATTAGCCTGTTTAAGTTTATCAGATATTTAATAATTAAAAATAATATTATTTTATTATTTAAAATTATTATTTATTTTATTAGAACAAAAATATAATATAGGACGATATGTAAGTTTATAGATTCGGTATGTAAAAGAAAGACTATAAATTACTTTCTAAACAAACTTTTTTTATTTATTCTATTTTATTATATTTAATAGGTTAAGTCTAAACTAATGTAGTCTCTATTAGGCCAATTGTTTTAGGGGACATTTGGTATAGGAGATATTTTTTTATCGAGAAAAAAGACATCAGTGAATATGGGGCAAATATTTTTTTCTCGAATAAGGTGTTTGGTTTGTTAAAAAAAATTCGGAAATGTTGGATTAATTTTAGTAATGTTATGTTTGATTGACCGTAAAATATTGATGGAAATGTTAACTTAAACGACAAAGTTACCCTTATTTTTTGAATCTTGAAATGACAAAATGTGAGTTATCAAACGTTAATGTTTACACTTCTTTGTCTCCCTCTCACCAGGTTCATTTCTTTGTTTCTAAAGATTTCTCCTCGCCTCTCTTCCTATTTTCAGTTGTGGGGTTGCCGGAGATCTCACCCACACCACAAAACGCGTCTTCCATCCCTCTCCCTCCGCCGGCGTGATTACATTGTGTCATGCATAGATGTTCAAACAGATAGAGCTAAAAAATCTGCTGATGACCAGTCGTTTGCCTAAACTGCAGCCAAGTGAGCAGATTACTTATGCAGATAATGAGGCAGCGTACAAGTTTCTAGAAGAAATCTATGGTACCAAGCACGAAGATATAATCCTTTATGAACAATATGTTGGTAGTGGTCCTACCTTGGATCTTGCAGCTAAATTTACTCAATTGAGAGCCGTTTCCTCCATAGTCCCATAGTTTCAGGCTTAAGGGTCATGTTGTCAATAGAATTGATGAGCAGAATATTTAGCATTATTTGTGCAGATTTGTAATTATATCCTTAATTAATTAGCGTAGGTTATGATTTGTAATTATATCCTTAATTAATTAGCCAGCCGTAGGTTATGATTGTGTAATTATATCCTTAATTAATTAGCTAGCTGTAGGTTATGATTGTATAGTTATGATTGTGTAATTATATCATACTATTTAAATGAGAATTCTCCAAAGGAGAACATAAGGTTTTATCCCAATTTCTCTAAGTTTAACATGGTATCAGTCTAGGCTTCGTTACTAAATTTTTCGTTGTGCTCACAGTCTCTGAGTTCCCAAGTTCTAGTCTTTTGCGCGTACTGTTCACGTCGCGATTCTTGTTTTTTTTTTCCTCTCGCGATTTTTCTCAGCATCATGTCTACTGAAAAATATGATGTTCTTTTTGTTCGTCTTAATGGAAAGAACTACTCCACCTGGGCATTTCAGTTCCAGATCTTTGTCAAAGGCAAGGAGCTTTGGGGTCATGTTGACGAAACTAATTCTGCTCCTGACAAAACTACGCACCAAGCGGCACATGCCCAATGGGAGGCCAAAGATGCACAGGTAATGACTTGGATCATAGGCTCTGTTGAGCCTAGTATTGTCCTCAATCTCAGACCCTTCACAACGGCAGCAAAGATGTGGGACTATTTGAAGAAAATTTATAGCCAAACAAACACTGCTCGCAGGTTCCTGCTTGAACATGAAATTTCTCTTTTTCAACAGGATAGTCTCTCAATTTCTGAATTTTATTCTCATTTCATGAATCTTTGGCCTGAATATACTGACATTGTCTATAAAGATTTGTTGATTGAAGGACAAACTGCAGTCCAAAATGTTCATGACACCATAAAACGAGATCAATTTCTTATGAAATTGAGATCTACTTTTGAGGGCATTCGCACCAACCTAATGAACAGGGCTCCTGTTCCCTCCTTGGATGAATGTCTAAATGAATTGCTTCGTGAAGAACAACGTCTCCTTACTCAGACAAACATGGAACACCAGAAATCTGCCTCCCTTCCTGTAGCGTATGCAGTACAAGCCAAACCACGAGGTCGAGACATGAGTACTGTCCAATGTTTCTGCTGCAAAGGCCATGGACATTTTGCTTCAAACTGTCCTAAAAAGTTCTGTAATTACTGCAAAAAAGAAGGTCACATCATCAAAGAATGTCAAATCAGACCACCACGGAGAAATGCAACAGCCTTCACTGCCACTGTTGGCTCTTCTACTACTCCTGTTTCTGTGGATCAGAATCCGCCTGTTTCTGTTCCAACTTTAACCCCTGAAATGGTTCAACAAATGATTGTTTCTGCATTTTCTGCTTTGGGTCTTTCAGGTAAAGTTTCTTTATCCAGCTCTCCTTGGTACTTTGACTCTGGCGCATCCAATCATATGACCAACAATGTTGCTTCTCTTACCAATGTTACAAATTACTCTGGTAATTTACAAATACACATTGCGAATGGAAACAATTTACCTATCACAACAATTGGTGATATTTCTTCATCTCTTACCAATGTTTATGTTTCCCCTGATCTCACTAGTAACCTTATTTCAGTTGGTCAATTAGTTGACAGTGATTGCAAAGTTGAATTCTCAAAGTCTGGTTGTCATGTGCAGGATCAACACTCAGGGAAGGTGATCGCGAAGGGGCCTAAAGTTAGACGTCTTTTTCCTCTTTATTCATTGTTGTCACCATGTTCTTTTCAGCCTTTTATTTCTTGTAATTCTGCAACTGTTAATTTTCAATTATGGCATAAGCGTCTTGGTCACCCAAATTCGAATGTACTTCATGCCTTAATGAAATTTGGAGTTCTTGGCAATAAACATTTCTCATCTTTTAGTGTTGTTCAATTTGATTGCAATTCTTGTAAACTTGGTAAAAGTAAAATTCTACCATTTCTAGTTCATCAATCAAATGTAAATCAGCCTTTTGACATAATTCACAGTGATTTATGGGGCATCACACCTGTAATATCTCATGCACATTACAAATATTTTATCACTTTTATTGATGACTATAGTCGTTTCACATGGGTCTATTTTTTGCGATCTAAAGCTGAAGCTTTCTCTGCATTCCAATTTTTTCATTCCTATGTTCAAACTCAGTTTGCATCAAAAATTAAAACTCTGCATTCTGACAATGGGGGGAATACACATCTCATTTGTTTCAAGAGTTCTTTCAGAAAAATGCTAAATTATCTCAAAGGTCGTGTGCTTCCATACCCCAACAAAATGGGATAGCTGAAAGAAAAAACCGTCATCTTCTTGATATTGTCCGTACCTTAATGTTGGACTCTTTAGTACCCTCCCGTTTTTGGTGTGAAGCTCTCTCAACTGCTGTCCACCTTATTAATCGGTTGCCTTCTCCAGTCTTGCACAATGATTCCCCTTTCTTAATGTTATTTGGTAAGCAACCCAATTATTCAACTCTTCGCACCTTTGGTTGTGTCTGTTATGTTCATCTTCAGCCACCAGAACGCACCAAACTCACAGCTCAATCTGTTAAATGTGCTTTTCTTGGTTACTCAGCCCATCAAAAAGGTTTTTTATGCTATGATCCTCACTTACATAGGATTCGGGTTTCTAGAAATGTCATCTTTCAAGAAGATACATATTTTTTTGCTACTAACCAAGACACTCAATCTTCTACATCCAAATCTGTCTTGCCATTGTTTCCTAACAGTTTTGCAGAAGACCAAGCTCGTCTTCCTGTCATTGTCTACCAAAGATGTCCGACTGTTCCACCAATTCAGACTTCAATCCCTTCAAGGCCCCCTTCTGATCATTCTCTGGTTGCTGATCCAGTGCATGCACTAGAACCTGCCCCTTTACGTCACAGTACTCGCATTCGTAAACCATCAGAAAAGTATGGTGTTTCTGAATCTTTATCTTTGACAGCAACTTTAGCATCTATTCCTATTCCTTCTTCATATAAACAGGCAATGGAGCATAAATGTTGGCAGGATGCTATAGAGACTGAACTTCTTGCACTAGAGGAAAATCAAACATGGGACATTGTTCTATGTCCTTCGTCAGTTAAACCTCTTGGCAGTAAATTTGTATTCACTATAAAGTTGCGTTCAGATGGATCCATCGATCGATACAAGGCTAGATTGGTTGTTCTTGGAAATAAGCAAGAATATGGCCTAGACTATGAAGAGACCTTTGCGCCGGTGGCCAAGATGACTACTGTGCGGACTATTATTGCCATTGCTGCATCTGAATCTTGGCCAATTCACCAGCTAGATGTCAAAAATGCCTTCCTTCATGGTGACCTCAAAGAAGAAGTTTACATCAAACTTCCTACGGGTATGCCCTCACTATTACCTAATACTGTTTGTAAGCTAAAACGTTCTTTGTATGGATTAAAACAGGCACCAAGAGTGTGGTTTGAAATGTTTAGCACAACATTACTTGGTTTTTCCTTCATCCAAAGTAGCTATGATCCATCTCTTTTTCTACAAAGGACCTTCAAAGGAATTGTGATTCTCCTTGTTTATGTGGATGACATTATCGTCACCAGCTCAGATCAAGAGGCTATCACTACAATCAAACAATTGATGCATACAACTTTCCACATGAAAGATCTTGGACAGCTCACTTATTTCTTGGGATTAGAAGTACAATTCCAACAAAAAGGCATCTTTGTCACTCAGCACAAATATACTCAGGATCTAATTCAGCTAGCTGGTCTCACCACTGCAACTATGGTTGACACTCCCATGGAAGTTATTGTAAAGTTAAGACGGGATGAATGTGACCTTCTACAAGACCCAACTTTATATCGAAAGTTGGTAGGAAGTCTCATCTACCTCACCATCACAAGACCTGATATCTCTTTTGTTGTCCACA